CCCCTTCCTGCATTTTTTAAGGTCACCACGCTTCGGTTCCAATTTTTCCCGCCCTTTCGAAGGTTCTAGAGGAATACATGAAGGTAGCATGAAGAGGAGCCACTTTCGATAACGTTTTAGAGTAAAGGCATTACCCAAATGATTTGTGTAAAGGTAGCATTTCGCTTTTTGTTGTTGTCCTTTTTCCCATTTTGATTTGTGTTTTTGGGCATTTTCCTTTTGTCCATTTATAGTAATGGAACCATTTGAAAGCACAATAAGTTAATGTTTGGATGTTTTTCTTTTCTTCATTTTCGTTGAATGATTGTTTTCAATGTAATTTTGTTTTTAAAATTTTTTTTAGTGGCATTTTCAAGCCTGGGTGACATCAAACATATTGTGGAGATAAATGTTTTACTACCAGAGAGACATCGTAGGCGCATCGTGGACAGTCCCTTCAAATGGTGTCTATAGATGGAGAGACCCATACACATCTCCCCTTTACTGAAGCAAATGGTAAGCCATTGGGTGGGCACCAACGAATTGTTCCGTGTCAGGTAGAAAATGGTGCGCTTTACTGTGGTAGATGTATGTATGTGTCTAGGATTAGGTATATGTGGTTTAGATGTGAGTTTTTGATAAAAATGATTGTGGAGTTGTTGATGCATTAATTGTAAAAGACATTGTAAATATTATTAAAGTAATTATAGAAATTAATGAGAACAACGTAGATAATGTATGTCGCTTGTATATATTAGTATGTTTTTGTGTATTTTATTTTCTTAGGAAATCTAGGTTAGTGAGTAATATGCGTTGTAGAGTTTTAGATTATTTAGATAGGTTGTTTAACTATGATTGGGCAAGTATTGTACATAGATTTTTGGTAACTAGTTTAAACAGAGGTTCTTCGATGATACGAGAGCGAGAGTTTCTTGGCTCCATAAGTATTAGTGGTAATGTTGCGGTGTTGCAGGTAAAATTATTATGAATTCAGTTTGGTATTATTTATGAATGACTTCACTGTATTGGATACCTTTAGTGATGATGGTTTTAATTTTATTGTAGCTTTGGGACGTTGAACGTCTGGGTTTGGCTTTTTTCGATGGTGGTACCTTTTTCCCTAGAATCCTAAATTGGCCTTCGTTGAAACTAAGGTCAAAGAAAATTGAGTCCTATTCTAGATGAAGAATGTAAGTAATTCAAGAATTTTTGAATTGATTATTCATATAAGTTGAGTTCATATTATTTGTTTTCATCATTTGGTTATTGAAATAATTTCATGTGTTTAATGGTTTTAGATATGTTAGGATTGGTTCCTTAGAGAGGAGGATCTTGTCAACTTAACCATTCACATTGAATTCCATTTGGATGAAGGGTCAATGCCCGAAGGAGCAATGCCTCCAAACACCATATCATGATCTTGGTGACAATTGGGAAGAAGTTAGAGACAAATTTGGATGGTCTTTCAATGGTTGTTGGATGAGAAGAAATTGTACAGGATAATGATTCAATTTGACCGTCCATTCAGGTATGAAATTTGGTTGTCTATTGCAAATTATTTTATCTTTTGAAGCCACATGTTTGAATATAATTGAATATGTCTTTTTTGTTAGGATTGTCTGTGAAATTTGTGGGTAAATCCTTATCTAAATGGAATGTTACTGTTTGGGACCGACCAAGTAGGTCGACAACCTGATAATAATGCTTTAAACTAAGTGTTATTTTTTAATTTTTCTGTTTAATGTGATTGTATTAATGTTAATTTATTATTGTATTAATGTTAGTTTATTATATTTTTTTGTAGGACATGCTTTTTGTACCAACCCCTTTTAGGTACTTTGAGAAAAGGTGGTCTAGAGTTGTGAAGAGGATTGCCTTTAGCCCCTTATATGTTGTATAAGCACTGTGTTAATGTTTTTATTTTTAATTTTTGTAAAAGCAATGTTTGATAATGAATTTTCAATTTGATTACAGACCCATGTGCTGCACGACTCAAGGAAAAAAAATTAATCGCAAAGTGTGGACATTAGGTGACTATCGCGCGTACTTATTCTAAAATAATTGGTTTTGAGGACATTTTTTTAGTTGACCTTATGAGTAACCTATTATTGGTAGAGCTTAATTTAATAGCAAAGAAATTTGTATGTTGTCTGTAAAGCTTTTGACATATGTATTGGAGTGTAATTGTTTGTCCCAATGGTCCATGAGGGGCATTGGTGGTGCTATGTTGTGAAGATTCCCACATTGGAGTTCTTTTTTTTTTTGTTTCGATCACAAATAGGTTTAATCATTTCAGAGGTCCCTATTTTTGCATAATCGTTTCAAATAGGTGATATTTTTTTATCTCAATTAGGTTCATGTTCCTATAAAATTGAGTCGATTGAAACCTTGTCATTAATTGGACTGGACGGCGTTAAATTTGTTATCTTGTGGCATGCTGATTGCACAATTGTTAAGCACGTGACATAGAAAGCTTGCATTCCGTGAATGTGTAAAGTAGAAATGGAAAAGAATTGGGATTTCATTAAATCCCTAAATTCGAAGATGAAAATCCCTAATTAAAAAGGGTGCTTCAAGTGATTGAACTTGTTTTTGTGCGACGCGGGTGGGTGGGTGGTGATCGAGCTTGTAGTTGTTCTTCTTCGAACAGAATGTTGATGGACCATTCTTGCTGTTCGTCGACATGCAATGTCTGGCGAAAGGAAAACCCTAATGTTTGTTCACCGATTTGTCACTATGGACAGAGATTTATGTTGAGAACTGCTAAAACTATGAAGAATCAAGGCAAACAATTTTGGGGATGCTTCAAGTATAAGGTATGATAGATTGAACCTATTTATTTTGCGGTATTGTTTTTTAGAAGAGTCCATTGTCGTTGATTATTGTGTTTACATAATGGTACTGAAGACGCTGATTGCAACTTCAAATGGTGCATTAATATTGGGTTTTACGAAAGGGGTAGCTACTTGAACTACGAAGGAAACAAAGAAACTTTGGTGAATAATGAAGAATTGGAGAGTACAAGGAAAATTATAGTTAATTTACAGAAATTTGTCTTCATTGTTCAAAAGTGAATGAAGGTGTTGATATTGTTGGCTTTTGTTTTATGTGTAATAAACATAATTTTAGTTTCAATGTTGATGAGAATGGGATGATGTGTTGTAACTTTGTTATAGCTTTGTTCTATTTTAATAAATTGAAGACTTGTTTCGTAAGTGAAAAATTGAGCATTATGTGTTTATGACTAAGTAATTGAATTCTGATTATGGAATCTGATATGATTCGCTTCCATTCTGGTTATGTACCCTAATAATAATGTTATAATTGACAATATTGTAGAACACAAATCCTTGTATGATTGAAATTTCACTTTAATATATGAGTTAGATAATTAATGGAGTAATGGAGGCATCATCAGTAAAAGGGTAGAGTAATTGAATCTGATATCTTGTAATGATAATGTTATCTGATGTTGATGAGAACGAGCCAAATACAAAAGTCAATGAACCAAATATATAACATTGACACAATGAACCAAAGTCGTTGAGTATCAGCCTAATTATATATTCCAACTTTATTCATAAAGTAAGTCATAAATTAATAATAAAGAGTCACGCTTGATTACTTTATTCATATGGTAACTCGTCAATGAATATATAAAAGTGTTCTTTCACTGATTCTTGTATATGGCCAGTTGTAGCATAAGAATGGGAATTGACAGATAGGTGCAGAGAATAAATGTTGAGAATAAGCATGACCTATAGCACCATAACTTGAGTCAGTGTTGACGTTCACTGAGTAATATCAACAATAATATGAACAAGATGAAAAAGTTACATAGACAAATAAACATTAAGAAAGTTGTGAAATTGTTCCATAAACATGTGGCATTCCGATATCAAACATTTGCAAGTCATACATTCGTATATCAAAGATAACATTTCATAAACATTAAGAAAATGGTGAAATTTTTCATATTAGTAATATGTTACAAAATAATGTGATAGACATTACAATTGTCCATTTTTATCACAAAAACATTACAATTGTTCAGAGCAGTTATAAATATGCAATTCATATTTTTAACTTATTTAACAATTAGGACACACAAAAAATACAACTATAACAACAAAAACAAATTTATTTCTATTATAGTGACATAACTTTTATTATTTATTAAATTAATAACTAATTTTTATTACTTTTATTTCACATTTATTTTTTATTCATAAATAAAGTCGTGTCAAATTCACAATATTTCAATACAAAATTCATTTCACAGATATTGTTCCATGAACATATGATTTCAGCTCTACGCTAAAATCATCTCAACCTGTCATGATTTTAGGACAAAATCAAAATCACTGAAGTCGCTCTAATACGTTACGATTTCTATTCTCGATGAAAAAAAATTAAAGCAAACAATATTAACTTTAATGAGAGTTGTGTGCTTTAGTTTTGTGTTAAAAGTCATTCATAATTGACACAAAACTAAAGTAGTGTTAATGTTGGACGATTTCAGTTTTATTATAGTAAAATGGTTCAATCTTGCAATGACTTATACATATTGAACTCGTACCGGTATAAACTACCTAATGATGTAATTTTTGTAAGACTTACACCACATTGGTCATTTCATCCTTGAATTGCCTAATTTAAAAATAAAAAATAAACCTTTTACACGTAACAATACGTTAATAAAATTTAAAAATAACTATAATAAAATTAAACTTGTTATATTAATATTTTTGTTCTACTAAAATACTAGATCAACCTTAAGAAATATATATTGAATCGATACTTACAGATCATAAACGCTTATCACCGTCACCCATTCACTCAGCTCAACAACACTGAAACAAAAGAAAATAATAGAACGTAAAAGGGAGGAGAAAGACTACAGATTAAGGGTTTTTTTTGGAGGAATCATAAATCAGAGAAATTGGAGGAAAGGATTTCTTGGTAACTCTCTTCTCTCTTTTTTTTTTATGTATAAATTATAAAGATATCATATACATGTGTTTTTCATCTTCTTAATTTCTCTGAATGACCCGCACCCGTGTGGAAATGAATTTAAATTTTTTTAAATCAGAGTTGAATGTTGTCAATATTGTGGGACGCTTGGTATTTTAGTTGGGTTTGTGAATTTAACATCATGGTAGTTAGCTGTATACCAAGTGTTTGATGAAACGCCAACTTTGGGTGACTGCTTGCGTTGTGAACATGTTAACTCGCGCGTGTCAGAAATGAGAGGTACTTATCTGTTATGAGTTTGTTACTCTGTTGAGTTGTAGTAGTTTGTATAAGTAATTTGGTGTAAGCATTCCAATGTTAGAAGAACAAAGTTACTATTCAGGAAATCTGAATTTTCGCTCAATGTTTTTTAGTTGTATTACTTTTCGTCCTTTCCTCTTGGTTTTGGATATAGCTTATAGTGGGTCCATTGATTTGAACCTGTGCTGATTACTTCAAGGTACGGGTACTATATTCCTTTGGTTTTAGTTACTATTTGACATGTCTTTAGTGCTATTAAGTTAATCTAAATTGTAGGACTTTCTGTTTGAGATGCACCGTGCATGCTGGCTGGCTTAAGGTTTATGTGAATATGATCTGCTTATTCTGAAGCTAGTTACACTGACCTAGGTTAGCATGTTAGCAGGTTAGATATCATTATTTGATAGCTGGTGAATCAAGAGATGCATATGTTGTGAATTGGGGATGACTTTTTAAGGAATTGTTCGTTTTCATAACTTTATTTGTTTCTGTTATTGATAAAATAGGCCAAGGGAGGCCCAAATAGGTGGATTAAAGACTATATTATCCTTTTAACAATATTATTCAGTTTTATTTTAAATATCTTAAAATTTAGATGATGACACATTTAGTATTGTCATTCATTAGGTTTGTATTGGGTATCAATGAATAATATAAGAAAGTTTATTTTGTCTTTGGCCTCTCTCCATAGCCTTTTCATGGTAGATTTTTAGAAGTAGCAGTACCTTGGTTCTTTGCATCCTGACAGTTTTTATTGGTGTTCTCCTTTTTGTGCTGTATAAACAGGATTCTGGGAATATGTTTCAGAAGCCACATGAGTTTGAGTTTGGCTAGTTACGTAAATACCACTAGTATCTGTGGGTCTTTTTTAATAAAAAATTTAACTATCATTCTTGTTTGATTTACACTTCCATCAATTTTGTGTTCAGTTTTGTAATTGACCTGATCCATTTCAGTGCATTTTGCTATACAATCTGGTGACTAATGTTTGGTCCTTTATTCCATCTAATTCTGCAATGGACGCTGATTCATAGAAGTGAATTTGCATATCTAGAATAGGAATGGTTGTTGAAACTTTCATTTTTATAAATTTTTCATCTGGTTATTGGCACAAGTATTTGATTTTATTCTAATAGTAACTTGGGTATTATGGATGCATAAGTCTCACATCGATTAATATGGAATGCTTGATAAAGCATTTAATGTTTGGCTTTCCCCATTAATAGTTTGTTTTTGAGGTATCTCTAGACTCTAGTCATTAATACTAACGGACTTGATTGTTTTTACAGTGTCCTTATCCTGTATATGTTTTGCATCACATATTGTTTCATTGGTATTTTTATTATGCTCACAATGGAACTAATCTAAAACCTGTATGAACTGTGTTTTTTGGTGAAAATTGTTATATGACGCTACATGCTAATTGCAATTGTAATTGTCTGGGAGTTTTCGACATCAAATTATTGCATTATATTCTTTTGCTTATAAATTTGCAGTGTATAAACCCAATATCATTTGATTATTCAATACAAATGGCTGAAGCTAGTAGCTCTCAGACAGAAGCCACTACCAAACCTCAACTTATATACCGGTGTAAGAAATGCAGAAGAATTGTTGCTTCAGAGGAAAATATAGTTTCCCATGAGCGTGGGAAAGGAGAATCAAGCTTCAAGTGGAAAAAGAGAAGCAGTGAAGCCTGGGAAGCGGAAAAGACACCAGTTGATTGCACTTCAATATTTGTTGAGCCGATGAAATGGATGGAAGCAGGTACGTGTAAAATTTCCCTCATACATTTTATTTGCCATAAAATAATGTCAAACTTCACACTAACACTTTGTATATGGATTGGCTTGGAAGTACAAGAAGGTAATGTGGGGGATAAACTTCTGTGTATGGGTTGTAATGCTCGTTTGGGTAATTTCAACTGGGCTGGTATGCAGTGCAGCTGTGGAGCCTGGATTAACCCTGCTTTTCAGCTGCATAAAAGTAGGTTAGATGAGTGTTATATGTAAATCAATCAACTTGCAGTTTTCCAGAAGATCCAGAGCTTGCTTGAAAAAAATATGAAGGTTATTCTTTTTCTGAACAAAAGACAATGGCAGCTTAGCTTGGGAGATTGTAATGTACAACTCCATGCTTGTTATTGATTAGAACTTACAGTACATTGTTTTTATAATACTAATATTCAAAATAAGTTTTATTTTTAATTTATTTTTTCACCGTTAAAATTTGTTTCTTCAGCATGTTTATAATGAAAGGAATGACATCCCAAAAGTAAAAATACGATGTAATTTGTATCATGAAAGGGGGGGTAAGAATTTTTACAATGGAACTACGGATCTATTAATAACTTGTTATGTTTGTTAAAGATAATAAACAAATTAAATGGTATAAAAAATAAAAACATACTGTACCCAAAGAAATTCGAAGGAAGTTTGAGTGTGTCAGACCTCGGAAAAACGCACCCAAACCCTCCTGTCAGTCATTTAAAACGCACCCAAAACTCTCTGCGCGGACGCCAGGTGTCAAGCAACGAAGATTAGAAAATCAGATAGTCGAATGCAGGTGTCAACGAGTGAGCGGACGTTCGTTTTAACGAGAGAAGCAAAATTTGATTTTCTGAAATTCCCGTTTCACTCACTCTGCATGCACCCTTCTTCTTCTAACTACTCCGATCTTTTATTTTCTCTTTCTTCTCTCTAGAAACTCTCCCTTCTCTCTACCAAAAACTCACCTTTTCTCTGCTCCGACCACCGTTCAGGCACCGTAGGAGCATTCTCGGCGTCTCAAGTTTCATCTTGAACCGAACAAGCTTCAAGTTTGAGCGGGTAAGTGTATCTGTCCTTGGTCGTTCGTCTTTTGTTACATGCAAAACCAAGTTATGGTTGCATGCGGGAGTGTAGTCTAAGTTATTTTGGTTTCTTGCTGTTTGGTTTAGTTTGAAGAATTATTGATTGTCAAGGGTATAAAGATTTTAGTCGGGCGAACCAAAAACCTACTCTTAGGACGTTAATCACTACCCAGGTAAGGGAAGCTTATCTAATTTAATTGTATGTTGTTGTACGTTCGTTGATAAGGAATGCATGTTGCTGAATGGTTGAATGTATATATCAAGTATGAATACTGATATGGTAGTTGATGTGGAATATGATTTTTTAGTATGATATGAATTGTATGAAGTAAACCAACTGATTTTGATTTGAATTCTATAAGGTTATGAAACTATGTATTGAGAAACGAATTGAATATAAATGAGATCTGAATATGTATTCCCCTATGATAGTGTACGTTCGTCATTGAACAGTCCTTGACCGTTCGGTGGTCCTATTAAATTTTGTTGGAAATTGAATTCTTTCATTTGGAAAGAACTCTAGCTGTCGACGAGCGCCTTCTTGTGATAGTACTGTGCTTGAGCGTTTGGCCAAGCATAGTTGTATCTAAGTATTCGGTGATAAACTTAAACCATGTAAATACATGTATTTGTTTATAGTAATCATTCTCGAACACAATTCTGATAATATCCCATGTATAAATCTTTCTATTACAAATTTTAGTAGTGCTCGGTCTTCCACCAAGCGCTTGTACTTGTTATAGTTGATCAAATTTGATGAATCAGCGTTCGTCCACTTTAGTAGAACTTTTCCTTACCATGTTCGGTCATTGATTGGCATTAGGTTTCTGTAATTGAATTATTCTAAAAACGGTTCTTTAACGTCTTGAGGTGTCTACATCCATTGGATCCGGCCTAGAGCCTCCGTACTTAATTTGTTCTTTGAGTATTGGTCTGAACTCACGAGAGTCAGTTCATTGAACTGATTCACGTGGTAAATAACGTTCGTCATATATTGTATTATTAGACTCGGTTTATTATTAAATCTAAAAGTAACTCTCTCGGTCTTATTCTGTTCTGGAACAGGAAATTTATCGGTCTAGTTCCTATCGTTCGTCCTCGTCCTGAAGAGGGCTGAACGTTCGGTATTTGAGGTTCTTAGAAATGATGATAAAAACGACACTAAAGTGAAAGATCATAAAGGATAAAGAGTATATGAGATAAATAAAAGGTTGTGGATTTTGGACGAGCGTTCCAGGGAGGAAAGACTCTTGGATGAATATTGAAATTGTAAAGTATGAATGTGGAAATGCTTAGCTGGCGGTTCATCCTGATGTTCCGTGAATACTCGTCCTCACGTAGAGGAGGGTAGGTCATGTGTGGGAACGGCAGGAGATCCTAGTCCTTAGGGGTACTTTGGACGGAACGGACTAACCTCGGGTGGCAGCTGATGAGAGAATTTCAGTTACTACATCACCCGGGTGCACAAACGTCGTAGCTACACAGAATTCATACAGTCCGGACAGTCAATCTAGTGTTAGGCTTGGTATGATTCGTATGTTGAATTTCTTTTATGTGTTGGATTGTTTAAAATATATGTTGATGCTTGAATTAAATTACATAAGCTTACCCTGTGTTTTATTGTGTTGTCTCGTCCTTGTACGTCCGTCTTGTCATTGCAATGATCATCCGTGTGGATGTGAGCAGATGGAGACGCGCTGTTGGAGGATGCGCTAGAAGAAGAAAATTTGATAGAAGTGGAAGTGAAGACCGAGCAATAGGAACGTTCGGCTAGTTTGTGGTAGTTGGTCTTTTGGTAAGGTGATCGTTCGATCACCTTCTCTTTTAGTTTTGTATGATCGTTCTGTATGGGTTTTGTAAACCGTTCGGTCAAATAGTATTTTTCTTGTACAGGTTAAGTTTGTACCTCATGTAAGGTCGTTCGGCTATTGATGTACACTCTCTTTTAATATTAAAAACTGATCTGTGTTATTGTTAATTGTAATTATTCTATTATATGGTTAAATGCTATATTTTTGGGATGTTACAAAGTGTAATATTTCTTTGTTTGGACAGTTAATATTGGATAAATAAAGTCGGATAAAATGGATAATAACGACGAATTTAGAAAGAGATTGTAATTTTGTGGTATTTGATCTCAAAGTAATGTTTTAATATTTATATTTTCAATTTTAGTTTTGGTGTAATCATGTTTTATTTATTTTATTCAAATCTAGTGATAAAAAATTAAAGTTAATAACTATTAAAATTACTTGTATGATCTTTATATTAAAGATTCAATATATTTATTTCACTTATTTAACATTAAAATAATTTTAAAAAAAATTGACTTAATATGAACTAAATTTGAATAACTTGAATAAATTCACCTCTAAACCAAACCATTCATACTCGACAAACTCCATAAGTTAAGGCTTTGTTCACTTGGAGGAGATTATTTGGGAAAGAGTGAATGGATGGATTTAAGAAGATTTGAGGGTAAATTTTTAGTTATTTATTTGAGTGAATTTAAAGGTAAGTGATAGTGGATTTGTAAGTAAAATTTATGAACATTAGTGTAGGATTTGATTGATGTGACAGATAAAAAAAAAATATTTAATTGATAGAAATTAAAGACTATCAAAATATCCCTAGTAATTGTAAAAATATTTATAGAGTAAAAAAATAAAATTAATCATTAAAATTAATTTTAAAAATGTAAAAAAAATTATAATTTAATAAAATAAATTTATTTTTAAATTAATATTTTTTGTAATATACTTTACTACCAAGTAGTCTGAGAGATTGAATATTTTTTATGAAAAAACAAACTTCTAATTGAATGGGTTAAAAAATTAAACCCATGTAAATACAAGTGGGTTCAGCCTGTAGAATCTACCCCTTCCTCTATGTGTTTAATTTCCCTACCATTTCTTCTCCCTTCCCACCTTTGTATTAAACAAAGCGGCCCAATATAGTAAAACCAGAAAGGATCCCAATATGTTAATAATGATTGTTAACAATATTTTGACAACAGACAGGTCTCAAAATGCTATTAGGTCATTTAAAATAATATTTCTTCAGAAAAAGCTGGTGTGCAAGAGCGTTGGGAATTGGTTTTCGAAAATACCCCTCCCACTTTATAATTTTTCATTCTTTCTCTATTTTCCATTTTCGTTTTCATTTTCTGCGTGTTCTCTCTTACTTGTGGTTCTTCTTCTCTCTCTCATGAAGCAAGCACAAAGGGTCGTCTTCTTCGATGAGGCAATCCGGTGAGACTTGCTAAAGCAATGGAAAACTCTGTGTTGACAGGGTCGCACCTCACACAAAAATTGATTGCATAAAAGAATGCAGTATAGTACTAGGAAGTGACTCCTAGGTCGTCTCTCAAGGACCAAATTGGGTTCAGTCTCAAATCAAACACGTAGTAGGGAGGTTTTGGTGAAAGATTTTTACTTTGATGTGGTAAAATTAAATTAAACTGGAAATTAAATAAAACAAAACCAAATATAATTGAAAGCATTAAAGTACATGAAAACATTTAAAGAAAAAAATACAATAGATAAATATTCAAACACAATTCAAATTATAAAAATGCAACAATTAAGCTAAAACATTAAATGCAATATTTTAAGGTAGACATTAAAAAAATGAATCTAAAAGAAAGAAGAAATATGGATGCAACCCGTGAACGTGAGAATGCTCCCAAGAGAATTGGAAATTAAAATTGTTTCTAAAATGAACTCTTGGCCGTGACACCACATCTCCTCCAACGTACTTCCCTTCTTCTTCTTTCACGTGAATCACCATCCAAATTAAATCACGTGACAACAGTAACAACATTTCTCCATGCCAAACCGTGACAGCTACTCTATCTAATCACTCTACTACTATTCTCTAAAGAAAGAAAGGGAGAATTAAATAAAAGCAAGGCTACTAAATTAAGAGTACTTGTACCAATTGAAACTGAATAAAGCTCGGGAGAAAAACGGAAATAAGCTTGGAAGAAAAATGCTACTGAATGAAACACGTCAATAAATTTAAGCACCATGAAATGGAATAAAATAAAATAAACGAGGGAGCTGAACATTGATGTAACCGAAACTGGATGTGACAATTGCAATGAAAATGTTGGAAGTGGAAGTAGCTTTTTAGAATAAAGTAAAAGAAAATTCCTTTCCAGCTCCTAGCCAAGACACCCTTTCTCCTATATTCTCCTAAGTGAGAAAAAGAAAAGCTCTCTCCGTTGGCGGCTGCTACCTAGTGCGTTCCTGCTGCTACCCATAACCCTCCATGCTGCTTTCTTTCTCTAGCTCTCTCTCCTCCTCCGTCGTGGCTACATCTCTCCTCTCCCATCTGTTTTTCTCCAAACTTCTA